GCCATTGCCGGGCTGCTGCTCTCCCTCTTGTGCATGGGCGTGGGGAGTGGCTTGAGCAGCTTCGCTGGTGCACCAGGTGAAGGGATCAGCACCAGGTGTAGGGCTGGGAGCAAGGGAAGAATCAACAATCACACTGTAACTCACGATGTGGTTCGGGGTCTGTTCTTGGGGCGGTGCAGCTTGCCTCCTTCTTAGCTGGGGTGTTGGCAAAGCTCGCAAGGCTCAAGGTCTATTCACGGAAGTTAGGACTGGACGGTTCACTCGGCTCCAACTGAATCAATGGCAAAACTCCCACTGACTTCAAAGTGATGGGGCTTGGCTTCAAAGGGTTAAACTGTTTCACCCTTACTGACACTGAGCAGGACGTAACACTGCAAATACTGCCCCGAACCTCACTGGGACCCATCCTGGCATCAGGCTCTATTCAGCACAAGTAAGGGTATTATAGTCAGCTCTATGCGCAGGACTGGCCCAATCCTACTCCATGGACATTAACAGCAAAACTTTTATTGATTCAGTGGAGCAGGATTGGGGTCCGAGTGCCTAAATTCTCATGGACTGCGATAAAAAATTAGCCCTTAAAAACTCCAGAGGAATAACACAAGGATGGTAAAAGGGTCACCGGCAGCTTAAGTATGGCCCAATATTTGTGTTATTTTTACACAATGAGCTCTTGCAAAACCTCAGAGCAATGCAAACATTTCCCCATTGGAAACATTTTTAAACAAATAAACCTTCCCCTGCTGGGTCTGCAACCCAAGTACGGCAGCACTTCTGCCCCCCAAAGTGAAGCAGGCCACAGACCAAAAACCACAGTGAAATTCTCTCCATTGATTTCATGGCTCAGTCTCAGAGAAAGTACAACAATAGGGGGAAAGATACATTGTAAAAATCCTACCCATTAGTTTTGTAGAGTCACAGGTCTGGTTAGCAATGGTGGATTCATACAGGTGCTTATTTCCCATACGTAGGTCTGAAAAACCTTTGCTCACTTGGATAGATAGGAGTGGACGTATAAGGGAGGGACGATGGAGCCCTAGGATTTCTAAACTGACAGTGTTCTTGTAACATCTTCTAATCATTTCCTTAACAACCATAAAAAAGTCTAAACATCCGTGGTCCAGATTCTCAGCTGGCGTATTCCGCTGATGGCAATGGAACAAGACCGATTTATACCAGTTGGAAATATGATGCCCAGTATCTTTTCAGACTCCTGGCAGTCAGTGAAGATGATGACTTTGGCAGGGCTCGTCAGCACCTACCCGTCTCAAGACACCCAGCTTAACAACTGGAATAAGTGGGTTTATCTTCAGGTCTCTCAGGGCCTGGATCCTGCTCCGCTGACACCAATGGGTGTTTTGCCATTGACTTCCGGGGGAGTAGGATCAGAACCTCATTGAAACCTGATCTTGTTGCAAATTGTGATAAATTCCATCAAGGCAGCTAACGGGGGAAATCTGGGAAGCATGTGAAAATCCATAGAGAAAAAACTGAAATCCCTCTTCGGGGCACGACTGTGGAAGAAACTGGGTTCCTTTGCCCCACAAAAAGGCAAATAGCAGCTGGAGTAAGAACAGGCTTCTGCTGAGTTGAGCAGCTTGGCTCCACTTTCGCCAATAGGGATAGCTGAATTTGTCATAGGAGGTTTTAAGGAATGAAATAGAGACAATCCATGTTGCTAAAAGCACAAGGAACATGGTGCTGATAAAAGAAACTCCAAGGTGCCTGTGAGAGTATCTTGGAAATAAAACTAGTGGAATGAAAGCAGAGGGTGTCTTGGCAGTCTCGAGGAGCCATTACCCATGCTAAAGAAGAGAAATAATTGTGAGCACACACACAAAATGAAATGGGAAGATATCTAAGGAATCTGAGCCCGTCTTTCGACACACTTTAAATGCCTTTCAGATGATATTTCGGCACAGCCACTTCCTCCTTCCCATGCTCACTCAGCCAGGGCCCCTCCTTTTAATTTAATTTTTTTGTTTTGCCATCTGAAGAAGAAACAGAAACGCATTCCAAATACCTCTTAAAGGCACAGTGCATTTCTTTCTATCATGGGAGAGCCAAACGTTCCAGGTCAGCACCTTAAAATTTAAGGCTCTCCAACAACTTTGAACCCCTCATTAGCATGTGCCCTGCCCCTAAACTAAGCACAGCTGCTCTCCTTCACCCAACTGCTCACCCTTTGTAGGAGCAGGGGTTCAGAAGGAAAGACCACCCTGAACAGAAAGGACTTTTCATCCTTTCTTGCCTGGTATCTGACGATGAGTTTTATAAGTAGAAGCAAAATGCCGGAGGGGGTGACTAGAAAACCATCAGAGGAATGAAGGAGTGTGAACTAACAATATAGCTATTCTGCTCCAAGTCAGCAGGCTACAAGAGGCTCTTTTTAACATTACAGGTCTCTTTTTAAAGCTGGAAAAAGCAAATAGTTGTTTCCCTTTGTGTTGTGTTTTCCTTCCTAATTTCTTAAAGTGGGAACAAAGTTAGACCCAATGGTCCTTTTTTGTATAAATCCCTTTATATTTCTTCAATGCAGTGAAAAGCTAGACACGCTCACAGCCAGGCGGGCTCATACATGATCGGGTCTGACTTTCTTCTCAAAACAACAGGGTGTAACTGATCAACGTGGCAGGGCCAGCTGTGATTCTAAAGCCACTAGCTCTTCTCACGGACTCGGCGCTTCAGGTGAGAGTGGCGGCAGAGGGAGGAGAAGGGGCCAGCACCACTTTGGGGAGCCAGCTCGCCTTTCAGCAGCCTTTGTCGTCATGAAGCTCAGAAAGAGACCTAGGCTCTATTCGAAGCTCTGCCACTGATCTGCTGTGTGATCTTGGGCAAATCACTTCCTCCCTCGATGCCTCTGTTTCCTCCCTGTCTGTCCTGTCTGTTTAGACTGTAAGCTCTTCAGGGCAGGGACTCTCTTGTCCTATGTGTCTGTAGAGGATCTAGAACAATGGGGTTCCAAACTCCGTGGGGGACTCTAGGCGCTACTGGAGAGACAACACCCACCTTGTCTCTCTAATATCGTGGGACCAACCTGGCCACCACTACACTCTAGCTGCCACTGTAATGCAAACAACAACTACTCAGAGAAATCTCTCTGTGGTGGCCAGCTGCAAAGCTCACTAAATCAACGGAAAGACTCCCACCGGCTTCAGTGGGCTGGGGAACAGGCTCTAAGGACTAGAGGGACCTGCAATTCAGAAGTAGCAGAGAAAAAGAGAGGCAGGGTAAGAAACTGAAGGACAGAGGAAGAAAACTCCACTAATGTTGCAGACACACAGAGAAGGCCATATCCTCTGCAGGAGCATCACTCATCCCAGATTGTCCCTAAACAAACACACACGAGTCTTTTAAGGAAAAAAAGGGCAATTAATTGTAGGAAGACTCGGGGGAGAGGAAATGAAATGAAAAATTGAGTCTGAGTTATAAAAATAAGTAATTTTTTTTCCTACTTGCAGGAGGCTTATTATATTAATTAAACATTATTACAGCGAATGAGATGGGGAGGGTTATTAAGCCTGGGACTGGCGGTAAGTGTTCTCTCCTGTTGCCTGAGGCCCCAGTGATCTTCAGATATTAATCTTCTCAAGCACTCAAAGGCTGAAGAGATAAACACTCAAAATATGAAAATGTGTTTCTCCATTTTTCACACTGTAACCTGTGTCAAGCCAAAGAATCTGTCAGATGTCCAGAGAGCCTGTGCTTAATACAGCGCTGATGGGGGTTGTAAGAGATCTGGGCGCCCCATTGATCAATGGGAAAAAGTGTGTGTGTGTGCGTGTGTGTGTATAAGTAAAAGTGTGGGTGCACGCATATGTGTGTTTAAGAGTGAGGTGTGTGTAGAGGACTCTCATCGGTCAATGTATTTCATATATATATATGCATTCCTCTTTGGCTTTGCCTGCCAGGTGCTCCCTATGCTGCCTTCTCATTGGCTGTTAAAACTGTCACTCTGGCCAGTGCCTCTGTCATGTGGCTGACAGGTTGAATGTTTTGGTTTCAACACTCAAATCTATTGGTAAGAGCTAATGGGAGGGGTCAACTCGATCCATCAAATCCTCATGCTCTTTAGATACAGGCATTAAAGTCCTTGTGCCTCCATGTGGCATCTGGAACGGAAGTAAAGCTGGGTGAAATATTCATCTGAACCTCAAGCTGACTCAACGGGACCCTTGAATTTCCTGCACAAAACTCAGTCCATGTTCATCAAAATTAAGTGAACATAGGTTCAAGTTATTTGGAAGCTGGTGAACCTGCTTTGTACCCCCAACAACACTCCTCCAACGTCAGCTCAGGTAAGAAGATGGCACAGGTCCCAGGGCTGGTTCCAAGATACAGGGATAGGGAACTTCTGCCTCCAAGCAAACTTGCAGGGGTTGTCTCATTCCAATCTCTGCAAACAAATCTTAGCAAAACTCTCTTCAGCTAAGCGCTGCAAGGCTCACTCAGCCCTAGTTAGAACACCAAACCCTCTGTTCCCACAACACAGGCCTATGCCGGAACGGATCAAGAGTAAAACTTAAGCAGAATTTTTTGTATCTTTAGGTCCTGGCGAGTTCAATCCCGACAGATGACTTAAGTCTATCCCATGCAACCACAGGGTGCAGAATAGCTGAAGTCAAGCTCTGTCCAGCCATGGACTTATTATGATGTGTGTGCCCATAGCAAGAGGGGAAACACACTGTGGGGAGTACTGATGGGCCCCCGTGAGGAAACTGGATCAGGATTTTGATGCAAGTCCAAACTTCCCTATATAGGGTGGGGGAGGAGATTCAGCACCAGGCTGCTTGGTTCAAGCCCATCTCTAGTGGAGAGTTAGTGTAATTCAGTGACATGGTTATCGGACCACAAAGCAGAATATCCAAAGAATTAACAAAGGAAAACATCCACTTCTGCAGAATCTCTGCCACTGTTAAGCAGCGCTGCAATAATCTTTTCCATGGAGAAAATGCCATCGCCTTTCCCCCTTTCCCCTTATAATGTATGAAATGGCTTACCAGGTAAGGACCCAGTGCTTGGTCCTGAATTGCTGAACCAGGTGCTTCTAGAATGGAAAGACCATGTATAATCTGTTTCAGGGTCATTAGACCAACCACATAGGTCTTCAGGGAGGTCAAAGTTGCAATTGAATCCTACAGGAAGCTGGGCATCTTATAAAAGGAACATAACAAAATAAAACTTGATTAAAGAACAACCTGCAATAGAGGGATGCTATTTAAAAACTAAAATAGCTGGCAAGTCATAAATACTGAGGAAAGCATGAAATCTCTCTCTCACGGATGCTTTCAACCTATCTCATGTTTCGTCAGCTCTGAGGATCAGCCTTAAATTCTGCATCATCAAAATGCTCACATCAAGTCCTTCAGCTAATCCACCAAACTAAGCAAATATAAATGCAGGCACCAAATGCTTCCAGGCTCTAATCAGCACCTTCTCTTCATCCCCTGGAGTGGCCAAATATTAAATTCCTTCTTAAATGTCAGAGACGAATGTTTCCCAAGTGCCCTTGTGGTGCAGTGTAGTTCCACTCTGGCTCCAAAAAAAGAAGAATCTCAAGTGCCTCAAAAGCCCAGCTATCGAGTGACAGATCTAAGCATTCGTGTCAGAAGAGAACAGGATGCCTGGAATTATGAATGGTCACCCCGGGTCACTATCCACTAATGAAAATGCTACCTATGCAGCTATGGGGCAGCAGTGGTCTAGTGGAATAATCCGAGTTAAGAGAGCTAGGTGCTATTCCCAGCTCCACCACTGACTCATTTTGTGACCCTGAACAAGTCACTTAACCTCTCTGTACCTCAGTTTTCCCATCTATAAAATGAGGACAATGCTTGCCTACCTTTGCATAGTGCTTTGAAATCTCTGGACAGATTTCATTCTCAGCTCAAAGCATTATTATATGAAGTGAACAGAGCCCTCAGTAGCAGAACTTTGGACAGGGATAGCTCTTGGGCCACAGGGGCGGGTGTCAGAGGAGGCTTGAATCTCAGGCCATGTCTAACACCGTGTGGCAAGCCAGTGTGTGACTCTACAGCATGCCAGCTTGCTGTGCAGTACCATCCCGTATGGACACTGCTATAGCACAATGAAAGTCCTGGAGGAGGATTAGTCTCGGAGAGAAGAGGCTGCAATGTGTTCACTTAACTGTTAACCAATCATTTACTGCACTAATGGTGCCTGGGTCTGGTACGTACCATCACCTTCTCCACAGCCATCACCACACTCTGTTGTCTCCTCATCAGTAGGGAATGGAGACGTGGTCTCCTCACTCTTCAAGGTGGGCTTCAGTGTCTCTGAAGTGGGCTTTGCATCTGCATAAAGACAATGAAGGAGAACAGGTGATAATGAGCCTCATCCTCAGAGAGCCCAACAGAGGAAACCAAACAGAACTCTTTCTTTCTGAATCTTATCATGAGAGGGCAAGAAAGCAGCAATAATTTCCAACATGCTACAAATGTCAGCATGGCTTGAATCAAAGTGGAAATAGGGAATTCTCTGACCTGTGGACCCTGTAGGATAAGGATCGCCTTTAAACCGACAGGCTGTTTTTTTACTATGTATGTATATACTAGCTAGCAGGTTTGTTGTTATGCTGGATAACAGAGATCCCAGGCAGCACATTCCTTTCTTTCATAAAGACATAACTACATAAAAACATATTCCCACCAATTGTGCCAGTTTTATAAAAACAAGTCACTCAACACCACAAATGATGTAACCACAAATGGACCCAGAGAATCCCTAGCACGCTCTGGCTCAAAGCAGAAAGCATCTGGTTTCATGCTCCATCTTCCTGACGATTTAAAGTGGCTCTGTCCTATTTCCCTCTCCTCCATATAGACTCTGGGACCCTACCTAAAAGCAGGTGGCAAGGAAATTTAAGCAAGAAGATATTAAGATCAATGGTACATGACATTAAGTTCCATCTTCCTCTCCGTTTACATGGGGAGTAGAGCAGTCAGCAGAGTCCAGCATTCTTCCCAGTTTTAAAAAGGTTTCTTTGTTCTATTACATGTGATTAGGATTCTTTATTGGCACCCTTCAGGATATTATTTAATAAAGCCAGCAGCTGAAGGAAATGGCTAAATACATTGAATATTTTCCATACACTGCTTCCCAGCTTCTGTGATTGAACATATTGCACATAAACTCTTGGGTTCCTTTTTTCCTTTCAGCTGCCTTTTATTCACGGTAAAATACTGAACAACCTCAAAGCCTCCTAATATTTAAGTCCAAATTTGTTACTACCCCATAAAACTGCAAAATGTTACCGAGAAGCAAATTGCAAGCAGCAAGGCACAAAAACGGTCATTAAAAAAAAAAAAAAAAAAACCATCAGCTGAAGGCAACACGTCAAAAGCTGCAAGTTACTTCCACTCGGTATGTGTTTTTGTTGTTGCTGTTCTTGGGCTTTGAGATTTATAGTAGGAATGTGACAATGGGAAAGGACCTTGAAAAGCAAAGTACTATATGCAGTCCAGATGCTCGGCTGGTGTCAATTGGTATCGTTCCACTGCCCCGCACAGTGTACCCTGAGAATCAGTGACTATGGTGAAGCATGACAAGATGGTGAGACGAGATAATGAAAATCGCAGGGCCAACGTGGGGTGTGAAATGGAAAGGTCTCTCTTCCACCGCGCAGTGTCCGTGCGGCAAGAGGTACCTGCTGATCGTGGTGCAAAGTTGTTGGGCAATTGAAACCAGATGTGTGGAACTTCAAAGGAGAGAAGAGCAGTCACAAGCTCATGTTCATCAATCTCCAGTCTTCAGAGGAAAAATGTTAGCACGTCTTTGATATGAGCCAGTTGCTTCATCTTTTTTTTAGCTACCTGCCAACAACCCATTTTTGACCCTAGTTGCTATTAGTTACCTGTTTGAATCGATAAAGTCACTAGATATTGATAGAAATAGTGGCAGTTGGGCAGGGTCCACTCTACAATGTGTAACTCTATTTGAAAACATTTTCAATCGTTGTGTTTTAACCACGCTCCTGACCTTGTTCCCAAGCAAGTGCTACAGCCTTGGGCTTCACAGCCAGGCTTAAGCACAGCTCGGTAACATGTTTGGGTCTCACCTACTGAACAGAGCCATGTCTTAAGGCTCAGCTACACGAACGAGTAGATTGCAGCAAACTGGGGGGTGAATCTACCCCACGCTACCTTGCTGCAGACTAACCATGTGCACCCTGCTGACAGCTGTTAGAGCGCTTTGATCTAGTCCTCTTTGAAATAGGACTAGCTCCAAGGATCAGCAGAGTGCACATGGATAGCCAGACCGAGGCAGGGTAGCGCAGCGTGGATTCACACCCCAGCTTCTCACACTCTAATTGTTTGTGTAGACAAGCCGTTAGTCACACCGAGGGATTGCCTCATTGTAACCGGTTGGGTTTTGTAGTTTACATGAAACCACAGGTACTCTCCGCTCCCCAGATTGCTTGAAAAAGCAGTTGTAACAAGGTTTGCTCCCACACTTCCAGAATTACAAACCATGCTACCGTTACAGCGATGAATTCTTGTAAATAAATTAAGTTAAGTGCATTTGTGGCCAGCAGTTTTTCCTTTTAAAAGTTGCAAACGACAAAGGACTACACAGTCATGTTGGGAAATGATGGTCAAGGACACTACTTGGAAAAACTGTGCTTGACGATCCTTTTTTAACATGGTTGTTGCTAGCACAAGTTCAAAGCTCACTGTGGACGGAGCCATGCAGGTGAACTTACACAAAACGCAGAAAGGATTGAGACAGCTGCACTGTAGAGTATGGTCTGGATTCTTTGCTGCAACAGAGTGAGCTGTGGGGGAAGGTGGGAGAGACATCATGGAGTCAATTCTCTGCCTGGCTTAGCACAGGTTAGAGTAGCCTGGGGGCTGCTCTAAGCTACACCAGCTGGCAATGGTCCCCAAGGGACTGTCTGTCATCTGGGGATAGCAGAAAGCTGCAGAGGGAAGGAGGCGTAGGAGCTTGCTCTGCTGACTCTACACCCGTTGTTGACTCCTCCATGCTAGGGGAGGTCTCAACGGGGATAGCACCAGTTCCTGTTCCCTTGGCACTGCTAGAGCAGCACACAAGTGATGGAGCAGAGGAGAAAATCTGGCCCAGAATGAGTACATCTTCAGCTAGTCTAAGGCCTGTTCTTTCTTTTCTGGGTGTAAATTGTGGCTGTCTGAGCCTGCTATCTTGACGGACACACCAGGGATTGGAGCAGGGATCTCCCTAGTTAAAAGCAAGAATCTCTACAGCTTGCCTCAAAGAGCCAGGCTCTAGCTGGATGCTGTAACAGACTCACATCCACTGTGGATCAGGCACAGAGGGCGACACGCAACACATGCTGACCTGGGGGTTACACCTAAAAAATTTGGACACACAAAATGAATCGCCAGAGCACGTCTGAGTATGTGGATGTCTAGGTACTAGGGAGACCAGACAGCAAATGTGAAAAATCAGGACAGGGAGTGGGGGGTAATAGGCGCCTATAGAAGACAAAGCCCTGAATATCGGGACTGTCCCTATAAATTCGGGACATCTGGTCACCTTACTAACTACATAACAGGCAAAGACAAAAGTACTCAGATCTGCCTCCACAATTCAACTGGGGGTGCAATTTACACCTGCCAAAAGGGAGGCCGCTCTGCTGAAAACCTGCCCCAGGCTATGAATCAATGTTTTCAAAATGTCATAGATCTTAAGGCCAGAAGGGACCATTATGACTATGTGGTTTGACCACTGCATATCACAGGCCATAAAACTTCAGCATGAGGTGTCCGCATCAAGCCTGGAATTTCAGTTTGTCCTATTACTTATCTTTTAGAAAGATATCCAGTCTTGATTTAAAGTTAAATAATTTAGGGTGAGACTCTGGCCCCACTGAACTCAATGGGATCTTTTGCCATTGATTTCTATGGAGGCAAGATTTCACCCTTACTGTTTTTTGTTTTGTTTTATAATTTCCTGGTAAATGATCGTAACATATTTTGTATACATAATAGAAGAAAGGGGTAGTAAAAACCCAGCGAAAGGCTAGCAGTGGGCTATACATCATTTAAGCTTTTTGGAGCAGGAATTCTTACAAGAAAATGCCTTATACAGATGTTGTTTTACATGGAAATCATACCTCTTTATCACTGATATCTGGAGACCAGATCCAGATTTAAACAGATCATTGTATTATTTAGAAAAACCCGAAAAACACAGGGATATTCCTCTAGCCCAAAGGGACAGCATCAAGCTGAATTCGCTTTTTTTTTTGTTTGTTTGTTGGTATTTTCAAATATGGACCAAGATGGACCATTTCACACTGCGACTCAGAGGACCAAATTTAGTTCTGGTGTAAATGGGCACAACTCCCCATGACCTCTGTGAATTTGTTCTGCAGTTTTCATGGGCCATACCTCGGCATTCAAGGCAAGAGCAGCTGCTCCAGTTATGAAAATGAGGTGGATAAACTTTTGGTTCCCTGGTCCTAGAACAGGGGTGGGCAAACTTTTTGGCCCGAGGGCCACATTGGTATTGCAAAACTGTATGGAGGGCTGGGTAGGGAAGGCTGTGCCTCCCCAAACAGCCTGGCCTCCGCCCCCTATCCGCCCCCTCCCACTTCCTGCCCCCTGACTGCCCGCCTCAGAACCCCCGACCCATCCAACCCCTCCTGCTCCTTGTCCCCTGACCGCCCCCTCCCGGGACCCCCGCCCCTAACCACCCCCTGGAACCCCACGCCCTATCCAACCCCCCCTGCTCCCTGTCCCCTGACTGCTCCCGGGGACTCCCTGCCCCTTATCCATCCCCCCCCCCCGCCCCACCCCCTTACCATGCTGCTCAGAGCAGCAGGAGCTCGCAGCCTCGCCGCCCAGCTGGAGCCAGCCCCGCCGCCCGTGCTGCCTGGCAGGAGCGGCGGGCCAGAGCACTGGTGGCGCGGCAAGGTGAGGCTGCATGGGGGGGGGGGGGCAGGGGCTAACTTCCCCGGCCGGGAGCTCAGGGGCCAGGCAAGACAGTCCCACAGGCCGGATGTGGCCCACGGGCCGTAGTTTGCCCACCTCTGTCCTAGAAGTTCTAGAACTGTCTCAAGATGCATCAGCATCAGGATTTCTGTGGTACTCCACGGCAGAGAAAAAATTCCTTAGCAGAGATCTAGCAGACAGGACTCTGGGCTGGGAATCAAGTCACCATGGCTCTATTCCTGCCTCTGGCAATGACCTGCTCTGTGACCTTGTATAGTCACTCTGCATCTTGCTGTATCTCCTGTATCTTCAGGAGAGAGACTGTTTCTTTCTACATGTCTGTACAATGACTAGCACAAGGCCTTGATCTTGGTTAGGGCCTCTAAACACGTGTGTAGTATAATTATTAACATTAAAAATGGGAAATGATCGCCCTTTAGATAGTAAATGAGAATCAGAGACAGGCCTGCGCCCAAACCCCACATCTGAATCCTGCAAAACTTTGGGATAGCTTGAATCTGGGTCCAAACTTTGCAACGAGATCTGGTCTCAAGCGGAGCACCAAATCTGACCACATTTTAGTATGGAAAAGTTTGGATTTGGATCATGGTCTAAATTGTAGCTTCACAGCTCAGGTTTACCTCTGCTGAGGTTGCAGAATTAGAACACCACCTCCTGTGGGAATGTAGGGAGAGAGAAATAACTATATCCCACCTACTTTATTATTTCAAGAAATATCACCATGTCCTACTGACCAGGTATAGAAATTAAAGCAAGGTTCATACCTGTCCAATCGCAGCCCAACACCTCCAAACGCATCCCAATCCCTGCTGGAGACCACCGTTCTGGGTGAACCCGGATGTACTGTGCAGGAACAGGGTCAAACCTTCGGACTTCAGGGATGTCATAATGCATGTTACCTTCAAAAAGCTGCAAAGAGAGAGAAGCTACTCTATGCATCATGTATATTATCCACCAACAAACCTGGAACATGAAGCATTCTGGCAAACCAATTACTAGTTCATGTTCATTTGAACCTTTTGTTCCACAGTCCAAAATCACTGTCCATTGTCATAAAGCAAAAGAACTTGAAGCACAGTAGATACAACAAGGTATCTGTAGCAGTAAGCTACAGAAGCATGAGGAGGATTTCCAGACTTGGGGCTATCCTACAGTCCATGCATGTATGACAGATCAGGGACAAAGTATGAAAATGGGGAAGGAAGTGCAGGAAAACAAGAGGCTAAAACAAACTTGCATTAGAAGGCAGCTCAGGTTCAGCCTAGATAGCGCAGATCTGGCACTGTCCTGTGTTACCTGAAACAGGCAGTTTTGGCTGTACTACTCTGGATCTTTTTTCCAATTTGTAGCTCTGTGAGTGAACATATGCTGTCCCCAACTCAGTCTCAAGAGAACCACAGAGTCTGTTTCTAATGAAACCATACCACATGCCTCGGCCCAAACTTTATATTGCCCATGCCAGATTCCCATCCAAGCTACACGCTGGTGCAAGGCTGGCGTTACTCCACTGGCTTCCAACATAAATGACATCACATTTTGTCCCTGGCTTTATAGAGAGACTATTGTCTGGGATCATTTGAATTCTCATTTTTCCCCAGTGTCTAAGCAGTGGCTACTGAACAAGCATTGCACACATCTCCCCTTTCGGTTGCCTGTGTATTGGGATCAAATTTAAGTTTATTGTTGCAGCTAGTCCTGCAAGACTCATTTGTGGGATTGGGATTGTTACAGTGTTGCAAAAAGTTCAACTCTTTCAAGCCTTCAAGATGAGAAACATTCACACACACATGCACGAAGAAGTTCACTAGAATCCAATGACTTAATTCCTTAGAGCAGGGGGATCACAATCATCCTGCCTGTCCCGTAAGTGCTACATCTGGGGGCAGTGGGAGTCCCACATAGATGGGAAAGGGAGGTTCCAGGATTGTCCCCATAGGCAAAAAGAGATTTGTGGTATAGAAAAGGTGGAGAACATCATGTGTCCTACATCACCTTCTTGTCTCAGAGGGTAAGGGCTGGTCTACACTCGGGGGAGGGGGGGGGGAAATCGATCTAAGATACGCAACTTCAGCTATGCGAATAGCGTAGCTGAAGTCGAAGTATCTAAGATCGAATTACCTGGGGTCCACACGGCGCGGGATCGACGGCTGCGGCTCCCCCGTCGACTGCGTTACCGCCGCTCGCTCTGGTGGAGTTCCGGAGTCGACGGGGTGCGCATTCGGGGATCGATATATCGCGTCTTAACGAGACGCGATATATCGATCCCGGATAAATCGATTGCTACCCGCCGATACGGCGGGTAGTGAAGACGTACCCTAAGTAACACCTAGAAGGCATCTTCCTTTAAAAGGTGTATTTAGCCTCTCTGCAGGGAAACCACACACTGTCCAATGGGTTCCTTCATCCTCCTGCTTGTAGGAGCTGGGAGGATCGCATGGGTGATGGTCACAACTCCTGGAGGGGAAGGTTCCTCCTGATGTACCAGCAGCTCTGCCGGCTCCTACCAGGCACTGGATGGGAGCTCCAGTAAGAGCTCTCCATTCTCAGTGGCTGGTGCAGGAGATGAAGGGAATCAGACCTTCCCCAGGCAGGGCAGGTATGGAGTGCAATAATATGGGGATAATGTCATGAAAGCCTGGGGCTGATGGCCCAATCCCCACACCACCACAGCCCTTACATGCTGTGCTCTCTCTGAGGACTAACCAACCCCACTGTGAAGAAAAACAGGCAAGCGGGGACAGTGAGTGGGGCAAAGGCTGGATGTGGAGCTACCCAACCCAGTATTATCGTCCTCAAAGGTCTTATTCCGATAGACAGGCCCTACCTTGGGTTGCATGGTTTTGGTGTCCTGTATATACTCCCAGTCCTTGCCATTCAGGCTGTAGGCCACTTTAAACTTCTTCACAAAGGATCGAGCCTCTACCATGGTGATGCTGTCTCCTCCTCGGGCCCCTTGGATAACCACTCCTTTCACATTCTTAGGGACTCCCAGGTCCACCTGCAGCCATTCTTCCCCTGGCTGGGCTTGGGGGATTCGTGGGAACCATCCAGAGCGGCTGCTGACCAGCCGCGCCATGCTAGGGGACCAGTCGTACCCTCTGATTGAGGAGGCAGAGATCTGGGAGTCTGAGATAAGGCCGGAAAGCATCCCCAGCATGTTGGAGCAGGGTGAATCTGCACGGAGAGAAAAGGAGCAGGGGAGAGAGGGAAACCATACAATAACACATTGAAGTGTGTCAGCGTTATGCTAACAGGGCAACGTCCCACTGCGCTTAACTGCTAGGTACTGAAATGTCAAAACACTTACACCAGCTGTAATTCCCTTTATTGCAGCCCTCAGAGGCTGCAGGAACCTCTCAACGGACGTTCAGAACATCCTCGCTTTTGGAAGCTCTGTGCAAATCACCCCCTGCCTCCAGTTGCTGGCTTCTCACCCACATCTACTTCTGAGTCTGTTAAAAACATCTCTTTCATAGCAGCGTCCTGGCTGCTGATCGTACGGTCACAGCTTCCTTTACAAAAGGTCTGTCCTGTCAAAAAGCCTGGGTGTGTCCTCCCCCTGCAAGGCCAGGACTTCGGCAGTGCCAGCTGCTGAGGAGGCTAAAGCAGGCAGAATTAGGGGCGGGGTGTGTCTGTGACCTGTCCCGAAGGAGTATTGAAGAATTAATGTCCTTTGCTCTGCTTTACATAGGAGAGGCTCACACAGGCAAGAGGAACAGGACGGGGGAGGAAGAAGGGAAAGAACTAGAAATCTCCTAACCTGTGATGCGGCAGCCATAGAGCTCAAGTCTGAGAGCAATCCCATTGTGCCAGACTTGGGGACGGATCCGGACAAACCGAGTCAGCACCGGAGCGTGGATCTTGTTCAGGACCACTTCAGTGACATCGGTGTTAGCTTGAAATACCTGCAATGGGGAGGAAATATCAGGATGTCCTTGGCTAAGCAAAATAATCACGCAAAGCAAAAGGACGGGCAGGGGCTTTATAAGATGGGCTAGTGCCCGAGCAGCAGGAAGCTTTGAGGAGCAGAGCACAGGGAGCTGGACTGGCTGGAGTGGGCAGGGTGCGCTGCCATTGATTCATTGTGTGACCTCGGGGAAGTCGCTTAGGCCAAAAATGGCCTCTGATTTTGGGTGTCCATTTGGGCCTCCTTTCCCATTGGCTTCATCTGGAGCAGTGGATGTTTGGCCCTAAAAACCTGAATAAATAAAAGGCCAATTTTGACCTTAACTTTTCTGTGCCTGAGTTTCCTCATTTCTAAAGTGGAGATAATAGCCCTTTCCCATCTTTGTGACGTGTACGGAGATCTACAGAGAACGTCAGTGTGCAAGTTCGAAGCATCGTTATTTAGGACCATGCTGTGGCTGCCTCTTTATAATCAATGACCACCCGTGCCACTCACGTCAAAGAAAGCTTTCAGGGGCAGTCTGTGATCCAGCATGGTACAAACAAGCTACTGTCTTACCAGATGGCCATAATCAATAACTACCATGTGGCGTCTTTTCTCACTCACTCGCTCTTCCATTATACGGTATACTCGTGGGTCTGTCTTAGTTTTCAGTGCCATCGGGTGGAACAAGTGAAAAAGGAAACATCCAACTTGAGTGTAGTTTTAAACGGGTTCTCTGTGCCCTACAACTGCCCACCCTGGGGCGCTGAAGTCATTACTTCCAGAGAGAAGCTGGATGCTCTCCCTTCTGAGCATGCCAGGCTTTCAGGGTTAGCGCATCATCTGTTGCAAGCCAGGAACTGCATAGACACTGCAACGCTGGCTACGCTTTATGCTCTCTCCTATCCTGCATATGCTTTGCTAAGCACAAGAGCTTCCATGAAGTTTATCTGAGAGTAAACCAGGAGGGAGGAGAAAGAAAATGCCTGGCACTGGCTCACCTCTGTCAGAGGCAAGAGTTAAATAATTCAACCATAGATCCCTGCGATTCGGAGAAAAGCAAGTGAGGCTGTAACCTGGCCCGTTGCCTTGAACAGGAGCAAGGCTCCCACTGACATATTTTTTTAAAAGCCTGCAGACAGGACACATTAATGCAGCTCTCCTGGAATCCAACACACTGGGGCATGGAGATTGTTACAGCAGGGAGAGAGTAATTCAGCACCAAACCCGTGACGGCTGCTGTCAGTGTTCACAGCGCCGCAACCTGAACTCTGCGCTCCATGCAAAGTGCTGGGATCCTGCCTCTAGGAAGTTACGGCGTTAGTTATGGGGTGGTGAGGAGATGGGGGCTGTGCAAGGCTCTGTCTGCAAATCTGGTTGATAATTGGGATTTGGAGTAGATATGAACTTCAACAGAAATGCTAATCCAGAGACTATAGATCATGCTGGTACTGTTTAGCAACACAGCATGGTTTATGGGTTTTTAATATCCTATTTTATCCCTGTCCGACCCCCACTTCCCATCCTTTCCTTGCTCAGCAGTCACCAAACACCCTTTTTCCAGCAGGAGGGCTAGACAAATGGTGGCTGCTGTGAGTGAGTGAGTGAGTGTGTGTGTGTGTGTGAGTGTGTGAGAGAGAGAGAGAGAGAGAGAGAGAGAGAGAGAGAGAGAAGGCTGTGTGTGTGTGTGTGTGTGTGTGAGAGAGAGAGAGAGAGAAGGCTCAGTGTGTGTGTGTGTGTGTGTGTGTGTGAGAGAGAGAGAGAGAGAGAGAGAAGGCTGTGTGTGTGTGTGTGTATGAGAGAGAGAGAGAGAATGTGTGTGTGAGAGAGAGAGAGAAGGCTCAGTGTGTGTGTGTGAGAGAGAGAGAGAAGGCTCAGTGAGAGTGTGTGTGTGTGTGAGAGAGAGAGAGAAGGCCGACACTCTGAGTGAGAGGATATATTTCCACCCTAAACCAAAGGCTCCAGCTTTATGTCATCTGAAAAGCTGACGTGCAGCAAATCACCTAAGAACATAAGACAGGAGAACGGGAAATGTTTATCCGGCTCTAATGTAACCACCTTTTATTTGGTTTAAATATAATCCCAGTTTCTTGCTTTTTCACCCTGTGCATCAATCCCTTCCTTCTCCAAACACATCTACGTCTCTCTTTTAGATGTATTTATCCTCCTCGTTTCAGGCACCTTTCCTGATAATTTATTCCATTTGAGGATTACCCCCACTCTGGCCCATTTGCTGATTACTCCCATTCTGGCTTGTTTCCTGGTTTATGTTACCTAATTTTTGAACTCCCTTTGCAGTATGAAAAACATGGGCCTAATTCTGAATTTACTTCGGGATAGGGTGCCATTGACTTCAGCAGAGTGACTCTGGATTTACACCCATGAAATAAATTCCAGTATTGGGCCTTATAACTTTATCAATCTCTTTTGTAATGCTGAAAACATCTCTTAGGTTGCCTGAAATCCTCCTCCTGTTTCTAATGAGACGAGTCCCTTGTCCTTACATTTGGCTTCAGAACTTAGGGCCACGTTCCTTCCCCAGACAGAACCCGATTCAGGGAAGCACTTCAGCTTGTGCTTCAAGTTAGGCACGCATGTAAGAACTGTGCTGAATCCGGGCCTTGGTTATGAGTTACGTGCAACTCCCATCAATAGGAGCGGCTGGTAAGGATGTGCAGGCCCGAAGTGACCCCAATTTGTTTTTTAAAGCCAGCTGGCATCTTTGTTGCCTTTGCTGCATCCTCCCTTTGGTACTGCGCAGAGATTAATACTAAACAAAGCAGACAGGAGGCAGCACTTGTGGTATGTTTTTTAAGCGCTTTAGTCAGTAACAATACCACCTCTTATACACTATAGGACCGAGGCCTGGTCTACACTTAACACTGAGGTCGACATAGCTATGGCACCCGGGGATGACCTACCCCCAGGTGTAGAGGCAGCTTGGTTAACCTCACTCTCATTGCTTGGGGAGGTGGCGTCCCTACAGTGATGGAAAAATCCATTTTGCTGGTGTAGGCGGAGTCTGTGTTAAGTGGTTATGCCGGCACAGCTCCCGCACCAGAGCTATGCTGCTCTAGTCTCTGTAGTGCAGACCTGGCCCTAGTATCTCCTGCGCCTTTATTACTGTACCTCTGCTCTGGGCTGACAGTTTTAATGGTTTTTCCACAATAAGTCCCAGATCTTTGCCCTGATCAGATCCCTTAACTTTGGCTACTTGCTCCAAGATTACTTACTTTGCGTTACTCCAGTAGATATTTTTTGTCAATCCCCTAAACACTCAACCCCTTTTGAAGCTGGTTGCATTCCTACACGTTACCTCTAATTTTCCTATCGTCGGCATTGACAGGATCAGCCTCAGACCCGCACATGGCCTGCATTTGGGGTGTTTGGGTGTCCAGCATGGAACACCTTTAAGGGGCCAGATTTTCAGAGGGTGGGTGCTCAGCACTTTCAGAAAATCAGGCCCCTTAAGGTGTCTCAAGTTGAACGCCCCCTCCCCAAATTGAGACACCCACCATCCCTGATCCCTTCTGGAAACCTTGGCCCCCTTCCTTCTTTTGAGCTGCTGGATGCTGACCTGTTGGTGAGAAATCTATTGTTGATCGAATCTGTTTTAACTAAAAGTCTGATCCAAAGCCCCTTGAGATCCAGGGAAAGATTCCCATTGATTTCAGCAGGCTTTGAATCATGCCCAGAGTTAACTTTCATAGCACAGGAAGGACCAGCAGGAGAACTTGTGAAACCCAGCGCTCCAAGGTAGCAGATATGTTTTGTTACACAATGAGAACATCACATTGTCTCCCTACCTTTTGTACATTGCAAGCCACTCAACACACATGATGCGCCAGATCCATAGATGGTGTAAATCAAGGTAGATCCATTGACTTACACGGATCTGCAATGATTTACACAATCCGAGGATCTGGCTGTGATAGATGAAAATACACACACAAGGGTGGCAGAGTTGGAAGACAAATGTAAAAACCATTAACAAATTAAAAGCATCTTCTAAGCAGCCACCAAGGCAACACACTTTCACTGCAGCATCAAAGGCCTGCCTGTCCCCTCCCTACACTTTTATTTTTACTTCCGTTTTAGTCCAGCCGACAGGTCTACATGTAAAATTAAATTGATAATCAATGAGAGCTCACTCGCTTAATTAATTTGCTGCAGAAACACAGGGAAGGGGGAGGAAGCCGGGGCTGGAGGATGCCAGGGTGGGTTTTCCACCTCCTGCCTCCACTTGTAAATCATACCCAGGACACTCTTCACTTTAAAACTTCCCCTTGTCGGCTAGGGGATTTTTTTAAGCTGCATTAGTTCCAGCGGGTGTGGGAATCCTGCCAGCTGCCAAGTCAGAAGTGAAGCAAAGGTGAGAAAAGCACCATTAAATCCAAAAAGCAGTTTATGGCTGGGGACAGTCTCTTGCCTTCTTTATTTTTAGTGCTGTTTTTGTCATCGTGCAATTTCCTGGGACATTCCAGAGAGAGGTTTTGTGTTTTCTAGGGTGGGGGCGGGAATAGCAGCCGCTCCTCCCCCAGCTGCGTGTGTCTCTCTCTCTGCACGGACTAGATTTACGGCAGGATTAGGTTACCCCATGGAGACAGAGGCCTGGAACAGAGCGCGTTAACGGGATTAGGGTTTCAGGATTTGAGACAGAGAAGCATGAAGGAGAAAAGTCGGGGAGATTATTTTTCTTGCCAGATAGGGAGGATTTGAAATTAGGAGCAGGGCAGCTTGGTGGCGTGAGGATCCTGGAAAAGAGGAGATGGATAGTTCTGCATTTATTAAATCCAGGAACAGCGGGGGGGGGGGGGGGGGGGGGGGAGGGGAGAGAAATGCTCCTGCAGCCAGACAGAAAGCAGTGCACCTCAGCCTCTACACTTCACTCCCATTGCCTGCCATGGGAGCATTGCCTGAGGAATGCATGCAAGACTGGGCTCTGTGTAGACTGGGCAGAGAGCCATCGCTGGGGCGGAATCTCTGCATCTGAGTGTGCCCTTTACTGGATCAAAAGTTATTCCCATTAAAGATATAATACACCTCTACCCCGATATAACGCTGTCCTCGGGAGCCAAAAAATCTTACCGTGTTATAGGTGAAACCGCGTTATATGGAACTTGCTTTGATCCGCCGGAGTGCGCAGCCCCGCCCCCCCTGGAGCGCTGCTTTACCGCGTTATATCCGAATTCATGTTATATCAGGCCGTGTTATATCAGGGTAGAGGTGTAGGATCCTATATACCTAGACCAATCCTGGATCAGGGAGTCAGCTGGTACCCAAGGGCAATGGGAGCTACTGGTATGCTACAAAGGATGAATCGGGCCCCATAAGCATAGGATTGCAGCTATGCTAGGAGAGCTGGGACCTGTAGTTCTCCACAGGCGCAGCTCCAGGGGTGAATTCTAGGTCCTAATTTTCCAAATATGGACAAATCCAAAGTGATCCTTGTTTCGTCTGCACAAACAGTGAAAGCAAGTCAGGATTTGGGAGACGGGTACCTTAGTGCAGAGGAGAGTGTGGGCTGAGGGCTAGATCTTCCCTGCAGCTCTCTAGATAAAGAAGCCACAGGACTGAGCTTCCACCCAGATCATTGAACACAGATGTCCAAAGTGAGAGTTCAAGTTCTTTTTGTTACATCTTAAAAAAATGCCTGACAAGGGACTGATGTAAATGGACACTATACTGCGCTTCGAAATATGGCCCATTGGGTCCACTGATTCTCTGTTCTGTGGTGTAATTATACACAGTGTGTGTGCATGGCAGAGAGGAAGCCCCCAACTCTGCCCCTTCTCTCTGTTACAGAGATAAACCACGTATTTGGGAGCATTGGAAATTTGCATCCATATTTTGCACCCTGGGCCCATGTCTCATACGTGTGTGTGTGTGTACGAGAGAGAGAGAGACACTAATGTATAACAGGCACGTCTGTTTCACATTCATGTAGATGACTGTGGACGTATTGCCTATGTGTACAATTTTCTAGGCTAAATCTGGAGAGAAGCATGCCTGCAATGCCCCAGACTAAGCTGGAATCGCTTTCCTCTGCACAGCACAGCCTCCCTCACCTGTTGACTGGGAGCAGCTGGGCTGAGGAGGCAGGTTGGTGGACAGGAGTGGAAACAGAAAGACTCTGATTAGTCCTGATCTCATTCAGGCAGCATGTCTGCAATTTGGCTACCCGCCCTTCCCTCTCCCCCAAATATATTAGCACTCTGCAAGACAACAACAGTCGTCCCCCACTGCCTTGAGCTCTCATTAATCTTGTTTTCCTCCAATTTATTCTCCTTTTTCCTGTTCCCTTGCCTTTGGTACACTGTATCCACGCTGACAGCAGCCAAGGAATTGAAGTCTAGCCTTCAAATTCTGCAGTAAACACCACATCTACCCACCCTTTCCTCTTCCTTGGCACCATAAGCACTGGAGGGGAGGTCATACCTGCCCTCCACTTTCTGGAGAGAACATTATCTGCCATCCACCCCTCCTATGCTCACTCCTTCTCCTCTTTTGTATCTCTCTCGGAGGAAGATGTAGATGTTAGCCGACTCGCGGGTAGCGCCAGTTAAGCTTGGCTCCCTGCCCACCTTACACAGGCAAGAGGGAGATGGGCTGATCCATCTATATGTGTATACACAGGAATACCAAGTCCCCCGCCCCTCCCCACTCCTCGTGGCATCAAATCAAACTGCGGCAGACTTGACAAATCTGTCTGGCACGGTTCACTCAACTATTTCACTTTGAACCGTGCGGAGAGCTGCACTGACGCACCAGGAACAGTGTGGAATCTGCACATTAAATACAGACATCTGGGAGGTTTCCTGATGAAAGAACAGCAGTGATTCACGTTAAACGGGAAGCACGGCCAGCTCGCTCGTGCTCCATGCACTGAGCTGTGCTACAGGGCTCAGGGATGTACAGTCCAATCAGAAGGTTCCGCACTCATCCTGCTGCTGCTGGAGGCTGAACATTTAAAGGGGAGGGGAACAAACCAGTCACCCTCATTTCAGGCTAGGCAGGTCACCAAAAAGCAATTACTTCTCCACCAGCCTCAGGAGGTGTCTGCTAAATTGAGTCCAGCACAAGGGAGAGGGAGAGAGACTGGAATGAGCATAAAGGAGTAAAGAGGGAGAGATTTATATTTAAAAACTAAGGCAGAGAATGGGCTTGAAGGAGGTTGTGTAGCTGAGCTGGTCTTTCTACATACAAAGGGGCCAGATCCTCAGCTGGTGTCAATGAGTACAGCTCCACTGACTGCTGTGAACTGCACTGAGTGACACCAGCTGAGGATCTGGGCTGACGGATCTCACGCTTTGTGGACTAGATCTCCAGCTGGTGTAGAACAACTTAGCTCCATTGAAGTCAACCCAGCTGCCCTAATTGACACCAGCTGAGGATCTGGTTTCATGTCTACAGAGTCCCGTGGCAGGGAAGGATAAAGTCAGAGGTGACAAAAATCACTATCTAAATCTGCTTCACACTGAAACTGACCCTGACTTGCAAATTCCTTCAAACGGCAATTTAAACACCAGCCTGACCAACTTGGTTTTTCAGAGCACATCTTTCTAACCATAGTTTTGCCCATTCTCTTTATGCTGCGCAAAAATGGTCCCAATGAAACTTCAAACTCCCCTGATTGTATGTTTTGTTGCAGTCTGGAAACTCAGCCAACGTTCATCAAGAGGTCTGCTAAGGCCTAGGAGCCTTCTGAGACAACCTGGGCCCAGCTGGGAGGCAGCCACAGACGCCGGATAATTTGTACTGGAATGCTGTGCAGGGCCGGTGCAAGGAAGTTTCATGCCCTAGGTGAAACTTCCACCTTGCGCCCCCACCCCAGCCCTGCGGCAGCTCCCTGCCCCCCCTCCGTCCTGAGGTGCTCCCCCCCGCGGCAGCTCCCTCCCCCTCTGCCCTGAGGCGTCTCCCCCCCCCCACGGAGCCGTGCGGCAGCTCCCCACCCCAGCTCACCTCTGCTCCGCCTCCTCCCTGAGCATGCCGCCCCCGCTCTAATTCTCCTCCCCTCCCAGGCTTGCGGCGCCAAACAGCTGATTGGCGCCGCAAGCCTGGGAGGTGGGAGAAGTGGAGCGGCGACCGCGTGCTCGGGGAGGGGGCGTAGGAATGCTTTAAAAAAAAAATTGGGGGCACCGCTTTTTGGCGCCCCCAAATCTTGGCGCCCTAGGCAGCCACCTAGTTTGCCTTAATGGTAGCACCGGCCCTGAAGATGTGACATTTAAGAGATGGGCTCTAGCCGCCACGTGCAGCTCCAGATCCAATCTGCCCAAAGGTGTTTAGATCTGGGAGTTTGGGTCAGGCCCATCTTCAGGAAATGTGGAGTTTCATGCTTTCAGTGTGAATCCAAGGGGTGCTAGTTGATTTGCAGTGAGCTTTGAGAGGAAGAGTCGGTCAATGGTTAGGGCATTATCATAGGACACAGGAGCCCTGCAGTCAATTCCCTGCTCTGCCACAGACTTTCTGTGTGACCTGGGCAAGTCACTTAGCCTCTCTCTGCCTCACATTCCCCTCCGTACCTCACCAGGGGTGTTCTGGGGACAAATACGTCAGTGTGAGGTGCTCAAATACAATGGTAATGGGGACCAAATAAGCACCTAAGACAGTTAGTTTGAACCTGAGACACACACTGAAAGACACTTGTGGGGTAGGTGAAACCACGAGGACACAGAGGAAAGAAAATGTTTGGACGAATGGCTGCAAAGTTGAGCCAAAGGGTTTCACGCCCTCTGCCAATGGAGGGCTGAGAGCCCCACTCAGGAAAATGAAAAAGAAATAAATAAAGTCCCAGCGAAATCACTTCACCTTCATCTCAGTTTTGTGCCCAACCCTCAGCAGTTAATGTAACAGAACAGATTGTGCAGATGAAATTCTTGTTTGTGGCACAACTGCTCCTGTTCCACGCACTGTATAGTGCCTATGTACACGATCCACTAGGGGACACCAACACAGCAGCCAACCTCAGTGCCAGATGCTCTCAGGGGCATTTCAGAAGTTCCTTTAATTAAAGGGCACCTGTACAGCCCAGGAGAATTACAGTGCCGCACCTTCCTAAAGCCACGTCTGTTTTATATACAGCTGCACTCTGTGCAGTCAGCTGTTCCCCTACCCACTCTCAAAAACACAGCGCCACACGAGCGTTCCCTTCATTGTGCATTCATGGTGCATCTGGAGGCTCAAAGATCTCCAAGGGTCAAACATCCATATTACACACAACCCACCTCCCCACCCCACTACACACCTCCAGGAGCTGCGGCTACAGCAGGCACAAGCAGCACTGCCAACTGTGATTGCTACTGCAGATCCCGTGTGCCTGACAAACTGAATTGCCCCTCGTTATTTATTGTTCGCTTTATTCTCCGGGACACAGTGATCCCCTCCTAGGATTTGTGCCCTTTCATTTCCAGGCCTCAATAACTCCTGAATTGCAGTTTCATGTGGTTTTGTGATTGTTAACCCAGCATGGGGATGGGGCTCCAGCCATAAATGCTCAATGAATCTTGTATGGCAAAACACGGGCAGTGAAAAGCATTTTCTCCTTCATTTGCAGTCAAAGAACATACTGCAGGCTCTCTCCACTGAGCAAGACTCAACAGCAGCCAGGTTTTCTAAGGAACAGTGATCGCTCTATCGATGAGAAAGATCATTTCTGGGGAAAGCCTCCCCACGCAGCCTGTCAGCCCTGACCAAGCAGTGGCAGCAAAACAGGCCTTACAAAATAAATCCCTAAGTCCGTATAATGTATTCTCGCCTTTTCCCTCCCGCTCCTCCGCTGATGGCAAGGCTCCCACGGGTGCAGCTGTTAAGGGACAATGCATTTACCTTATGGTTTTTACCATGCCGGTACATCATCCAGTCCTCGCCATTGGTGCTGACCTCCAGCTTGTAGGAGCGGACATAGTAGCCATTCTGCGTTTCTTTGGAGATGGCACCCTGGGTAGCAATGGCCGTCAACAGGGTCAGGAAACGAAGGTCCACCTGATCGGGGGGTGAGGAGAGAAGGGAAAGGAGGACAAGGAAGAAAATGGTGACTACCATCCGTCCCACGATGGACGGGATCATCCCCTCATTTTTAAAAACTAAGGGCCAGTTGCTCAGAGGGTGCAAACCAGCATGGCTCGATTGGAGCTTTGTTGATTTATACCAGCAGAGGATCTAATATCCCATTTGCTTTTGTTAGAGCCTGTAGACACAGCTGTGGCTTTTGCCACTGCATTGCTTGAGTGTTCTGTGCAACAAGGGTCACACTGGTTTGGAAACTCAGCAGTACTGTTCCAGGGCTGATTTTCAGACCACTTAACTGAAGAACATGCCACAGAGAAAAAATGTTTCATGCTCTGCAGTTTTCAAGCAATTTTATACTTTCGGGGGAAAGCGAGGGGAAAGTATGTTGCAAGTGTCTCTGTCTCTGTTTAAGTATGAAACAGGCTAAGTGACTGTGTACGAATGTGTGATTGATCACAAGGGGCAAAATCTTGATGCCCTTTCGCAGTTTGTACTCAGTCTTTAAGTAAACTCCCATTGATTTCAATGGGAAAAAAGCAGGGTTTGACCTCAGCAGGAATTTAGCTAGTGTGAGGACTGGGTGAAACTGATTAAGGACTTTGAAGTTTGGCCATAAATTAAAGTACAAAGTCTCCCCTCAGACCAGACAACAGGATCGTCACTAAAATTGAATGCTTGTGTCCTTTTAAATGGGACAGAAGCCACCGGACAGAGCTTTTCCATGTAAAATAAAGTCATGATGGCCAATTAGCAAGAGCAGCAGTTTTCAATGTTTTTAATGTTTATTTTAGTTATGTGGGTTAAAAAAGATCACACGATCTGGCTTGGTAGCACTGCCACGAATGTAGCCTTAGGGCTTGTCTACACTACCCGCTAGCTTGGCGGGCAGCGATCGATCCAGCGGGTGTCGATTTATCGCGTCTAGTATAGACAGGATAAATCGATCGCTCAGCGCTCTCCCATCGACTCCACCAGAATGAGGTGCTCAAGCGGAGAAGATGGGAGAGCATCAGCTGTCGACTTACAGACACCGCGGTAAGTAGATCTAAGTACGTCAACTTCAGCTACGCTATTCACACAGCTGAAGTTGCGTATCTTAGATCGAACCCGCGCAGTAGTGTAGACAAGCCCTTCGACATCTGCTTCAGGCAATGACACTTCTGTACTTACAATTCTTAATGCCCATTAGCAAGCACCATCTCACAGCGCTATAGCCCCTCAGAAACCCTTTGTGGAGAGACAATGTGTTTCTAATGAAGGGCCTAAAGAAAGCCTTTGCTCTGAAATCCCGAATTGAAATCCACACTGACAATGCTCACTACATCTCCAGCACAATCAATATTATTCTAGCTGCACATTCACAACATTTTTTTAAGATTCCAGCCATCAGGGTGGCTGCAGAGTCAATGGTCCTTGTAAGTAGCAGGAGACTCTCTCTCTCTCTCTCAGCTCTCTAGAAAGTCCATGGAGGTTCAGGGGGCATAAGGTCAAGTCAGGACTTGGACAGGAATGTTAATGGGCCAGCAGCAGGGCTGGGTCCTTTCACAAAGGCAGAGTCATCCTGACATCCCTAAACAGCAGCTCAGCCACCGCTGACTCTCTGCATGTCACAAAGGCAATAAAAGAGTCCACAAGCCTTATTACGTTCAAGGGGCAGTTTAACAGCAGGACACTCAATGTGGCTCAAAGTGGGGGAGGGAGGAAAGCTGAAGGTTTGGAGTGCAATGGTGGGGCTTTGCCAATGCTGGCTTGGTGTCCAGCAGAGATGCTTTCTCACAGCGTCGCTCTGCCAGTGCTGGCTACCAGGCCCGCACAGCAGTGCCTGCCAGTGCCAGCGTGCCCTTTCAGCACTTGCTCAGAGGACAATGCTGGCTGGGCCTCTAGCAGACCATGCTTTTGACAAAAGTGATCTAGAGGTCAGTTCAATACTGCACACTGCAGCAGCTGCCTGGCAACACAAAACTGTTGCTAAGCCCAGTATTATAGCCCCAATTCCCCATCTCCACAGCACATTAATCATAGAATCATAGCAGGGCCGGCTCTGGCTTTTTCGCCGCCCCAGGCGAGAAAGCCTCCGGTGCCCCCCCCCCCGGGGGGGGGGGCGGCCGGAGCCCCGGAGGGAGGGCAGCGAGCCCCGGCGGGGGCTCGGCTCTCCCCCCCCCCCGCGACCAGAACGCCGGGGGCAGGGCGCCGGGGGGGAGGGCGGCCGGAGCCCGGGGGGGAGGGCGGCGAGCCCCGTCTGGGGCTCGGCTCTCCCCCTCTGGCGGCCAGAGCGCCGGGGGCAGGGCAGCGAGCCCCGGCTGGGGCTCGGCTCTCCCCCCCCGGCGGCCAGAGCGCAGGGCGGCGAGCCCTGCTGTGGCCCCGCTCTCCCCGGCGGCCGCAGCGCCGCGCCGCCGCCCCCCTCCAGGTGCCGCCCCAAGCACCAGCTTGGGTGCCTGGTGCCTGGAGCCGGCCCTGAATCATAGACATGTAGGGCTGGAAGGGACCTTGAGAGGTCATCTAGACCAGCCCCCCCCATGATGCAGCAGGGCCAGGTAAAACCAAGTAAACACAGACCATCCCAGCAAGATATTTGTCTAACCTGTTCTTAAAAACCTCCACGGATGGAGATTCTACAACGGGGTCAGCAACCTTTCAGAAGTGGCGTGCCGAGTCTTCATTTATTCACTCTAATTTAAGGTTTCACGTGCCAGTCATACATTTTAACGTTTTTAGAAGGTCTCTTTCTATAAGTCTATAATATATAACTAAACTAGTGTTGTATGTAAAGTAAACAAGGTTTTCAAAATGTTTAAGAAGCTTCATTTAAAATTAAATTAAAATGCAGAGCCCCCCGGACCGGTGGCCAGGACCCGGGCAGTGTGAGTGCCACTGAAAATCAGCGCATGTGCCGCCTTCGGCACGCATGCCATAGGTTGCCTACCCCTGTTCTACAATCTCGTTTGGTAACTTATTCCGGTACTTAACTATCCTTAGAGGTAAAAAGTTTTTCCTAATATCTAACCTAAATCTCGCTTACTGCAGATTAAGCTGATTACTTCTTGTCCTACCTTCTGCAGACATGGAAAACTAGTGATCACTGTCCTCTTTATAGCAGCCCTTCACATATTTGAAGGCTCTTATCAGGTCCCCTCTCAGTCTTCTTTTCTGAAGACTAAACAAATCCATTTTTTTTAAATCTTTCCTCATAGGTCAGGTTTTCTAAACCTTTTATCATTTTGTTGCTCTCCTCTGGACTCTCTCCAATTTGTCCACATCTTTTTTAAAGTGTGGAGCCCAAAACTGGACACAATACTGCACTGGAGCAGGACAATTACCTCCCATATCCTACATACGACACTCCAGTTAATACATCCCAGAAAGATATTAGACTTTTTCACAACTGTATCACATTGTTGGCTCATATTCAAGTTATGATCCACTATTAACCCCAGATCCTTTTAAGCAATACCACTGCCTATCTAGTTATTCCCCATTTTGTAGTTGTGCATTTGATTTTGCCTTCTTAAGTGTAGTACTTTGCACTTATCTTTACTGAATTTCATCTTGTTGATTTCAGACCAATTCTCCAATTTGTCAAGGTAGTTTTAAATTCTAATCCTGTCTTCCAAAATGCTTGCTATCCCTCCCAGAAAATTTTATAAGCGTACTCTCCACTCCATGTTTCAAGTCATTAATGAAAATGTTGACTAGTTCCGGATGCAGGACAGACCCTTGTGCATCCCCAGTAGATACATCCTCCCAATTTTCATGGGCTATAACCCACTTATAGCCCACAAAAGCTTATGCCCAAATAAATTTGTTAGTCTCTAAGGTGCCACAAGGACTCCTCGTTGTTTTTACTGATATAGACTAACACGGCTACCCCTCTGAAACCTTTCCTCCTAGTTTGAGAGTGAACCATTGATAATTACTCTTTGAATACAATTCTTCACGCACTTGTGCCCACCTTATTGTATTTTCATTTAGTCCACATTTCCCTAGTTTGCTTAGTGTGTCAAATGCCTTAATAAAATCAAGATCTAATATTCATCCTTGATGATTTCCTCTTCCTGTCACGGGGACCTGTACGAACCTGGAGGAACTCCTTGTTGGAATCCAGGTTGGGGGTCCATCCGTTGTCATCACTGTTGAGCCGGCTCTGCTGTGGGGTCCACCTTCCATCCGAGTAGGTGGAGGAGGCACTGATCTGTTCATTGGAGATTCTGCCAGATTCCATCCCCAAAGGAATGTTGCACTGGAAGTCTGGAGCAGACGCGCGCACACAAACACACAGACAATTACAAATTCTGTATCTTTCACTCCCAACTGGAAGTAAGCCATGAATTACTCCCCAGCATCCTAGATCAAACCCATATGTCTGTCCCGATGATCGGATTTACACAGAAATATCTGTGCACACATCCAATGCAAAAAACTATTCAACATTAATAGTTTAATTTACAGAGGGCCTTAGGTTTGCAAGACCCTCTGTAAATTAACACATGGGGGGGGGCTCAGTCCAAATCCTTTCCCCTCTATAATAGGGTTCTTCCACCTTTGCGCACCCACTACCCTCCCCCTGGCCATACCCTGTTTACGACTCCCCCAGTCTCTTTTCAAGATGTGCCAAGCCCCCTACCTGATTGTGAAGCTGCTTGGCAACTTATAACCTCTTGAAGCCAAGAGGTGAATTCTAGCTAAAGCTGGGAAAGCAGGAAAGGAATGCACCAAGGAATGCACTCTCTGCCATATCCCACAGATGCCAGAGACAGATGGGAACATACATGAGTGATCGAGAATGGTGCGCAGGTTTGAAAGATGTCTATGTGTGGGTATGTGTTGCCCTATGGGGAAGTGTGGGTCCATAGGTGGCTGCATAGGGTAGACTGGCTTAAAAGGTCGCTACCATTAAGACTGAGAAATCTAGAATTCAACTTTTTGAATTTCCTCACTTTTAAGGCTTTTAAATCCACATTAACTCAGCCATGTGTCATGTCTTGTATATTTTACGGCATATGTTTTCTAAGAAACAGTAAGATACATTCCACAAAGAAAACATCAGTAGCAACTACTACAGGGGCCAAACCCTAAGCTGGTGTAAACTGATATAGCTCTACTAACGTCCCGTATGTTGAACACGGCTGAGTTAACACTGCACTAGAAACTGGGCCAAATTATGCTCTAAGTGGTGCCATTAAAGTCTCAATTTACACCAGCGTGAGTGAGAGCAGGATTTGACGCTAACATTTTTCATTTTCTGACTTTAGTCCCCTTGATTTTTCAAACTTGACCATTAGCGTGTACATTTAATGTCCTTGTTTTTTGAACGAAGAGAATAAAAAGGGGACAAAAACGGGGGGGGGGGGGGGGGAATGAAAAAATGAAGTGTCCTTAACTAGGGTTACCATCCGTCCGGGTTTCCCCGGACATGTCCGGCTTTTTCAGCCTTAAATGGCCGTCCGGGGGGGATTTCTAATGAAGTAGAAATGTCCGGGATTTCCCCTCCTGTGGAGTGCGGCGTGGCTGATTGGACGCCTGGCCTGATTGAAAGCCGCTCGCAGCCACTAGGGCCTCTAGCAGCCAGAGTCCCTCCCCCTCCCCCGCTCCCTCCTCCCCCACAGAGCAGCGTGGAAGTGTTTAGTCCACGTGGAGCCCGCATTTCTCCCTCTGCCAGGTGAGCGAGGGGAGCAGGGCAGGCGGCGGGGGGTGTGTAGAGGCTGCAGGGTGAGTGGGGAGCAGGGAGCACAGAGGCTGCAGGGGCAGGGGGGTGCAGAGGCTGCAGGGCGAGTGGGGAGCAGGGGGCACAGAGGCTGCAGGGGCGGGGGGGTGCAG